GTTATTTTACGGTGATAATCTTGTTTTCTTGTGCCCAATAATGAATAATTTCATTTGATAAACACGTTTAGATTGAATGGTGATTTATAATCAGTCACAAGAACGTCGAATCTGAATAACTTGAAAAAACACGGGGGTGGTTAACTTTTTTCCAGGTGTATAGTTTTCAAACTATAACTTTTAACAGAGTAAGTGTATCTTCACAAAATTTTGCAGATTATCAGTAAACATTACAAGGCTTTAGTACACAAAATATCAGATTTTTTAAGTGATGATTTGATCATGCCTCTCTTTCTTTTCGAATGTTGACTATCCGGCATGCAAAGTAATTTTGATTTTAAGATTAAAAATACTTTTATCCATCAGAAAATTGTCAATTTTCACATGCAAAATCTTTATAATATCCAGATAATTATCAAATGATTTTATTTTTTAAATCTTCATATTTTATCTGTTATTTAATTTTCACTATTGTATCTCTGTATGGATTTGGTCGATTTGACAGACCTTGTAACCAACCTTAAAAAAATTAGGAAGTAGATATAAATTATGCTTTTTTTCATTCTAAAATGACTACAAATTATAACAAGAAACCACAAAGGTTTAGTCTAAATAGCTTAAATCTGATAACATTGTACATGTGTATATATATATATATATTTATTTTTTTATTTCATTGATCTTTCAGCTGTGTCTAACTAACATTATACAAGTTGAAATGATGAGGTGCACGTGTAGTAATGTTACCATATCCAATAGTATAAAACTGGCCTTTACAAAGTGACCTATCTTCGGTTTGTTCTAGTGAACCAGTATTTTGTAAAATACAGTCACATTTTGGTTATAATATTTTACACATGCATATATATTATTACTATTTACAAGTAAGTTCTTAAATTACAGTTATTTTTCTTAAAACATAGAACTCTAAATAAAGAAATTTAGAAAATAATGTTTTTTTCTACTTACAAACTTTGTACTCATTTGCCTACTTGCCATAATTTGGGAAACCTTGTCAAATTTTGCATGTGGAGGATGTAAAACAAAATAATTTTTATTTTTACTTTTATGTATTCATTTTGAAATAACCAAATATTATAAATTACTCTATCAATGTTGTAGAATTCTACTGCAATTTATCAGGCTTACTAACTAAACTGTATTTGAGTAAAACAAAATATTGTTTTTGGACAACATTTTCACTTACCACATCCTTCAGTAATTCAAGACAAAGAAATAATCTAGGGAATTTCTCATGTTCTAGAGAAAACCACCAGGGGGACATTCTGAGCTTTCAATTGGTTATTCATATGTCACAGACAGAAGTAGGTGTACGGAAGCAAGTATTTCCAAAAATGGAAATGGCAGGGCCACTTTGTTTGATTCACTATATGTAGCAATATCCCAGCAAATGGTAAAGATAGGAGGTTCTTATTTGATATTTTAGCTTGTCAATATCAGTAATTTGAGTTTCTAATTCATAAAAAACTATAGACTTTGTATTTGGACATCACAAACATAATTTGAACCAAACCTGTATTCAACATACCACGTGACACACAAAAATCAATATTTAGTTGTTGTTGTTTTTTTAATATTTACTTTTAAATTAAGAAATTAAGTAATGTATGGTACTAAAATTTGAATTGTAATGTACACTTTGATACCAAACTTATTGACATCCATTCATAAAATAGTAAATCAATAAAATTTTGAATGTAAGCCTACAAACGTTATGACATGCCCTTTAACCCCTGACCATAGGAAGACCCATAGCACGAGGGTTGAAAAAGTACTTCTCTATGTATGTAATTTATACCAATGCATCAAACATACTAGAAATTTATAATGGCTGGGGACGGCTTGAATGGGTAATGAAGAAAAACTTTAATATAAGTTTAACATAACAGCAAATGTACAACGTTTCGACAAGGTTTTGTCACCACCTTTTGTCACGGGTTTGAATCCCCGTCCCACCAAACATGCTCGCCCATTCAGCCATGGGGGCGTTATAATCTGACGGTCAATCCCACTATTCGTTGGTAAAAGAGTAGCCCAAGAGTTGGCGGTGGGTGGTGATGACTAGCTGCCTTCCCTCTAGTCTTACACTGCTAAATTAGGGACGGCTATCGCAGATAGCCCTCTTGTAGCTTTGCGCAAAATTCAAAAACAAACAAACTAACAAGGGGAAGATTTGGTTATTTTTTTAAAATTATTAAACCTTTCAAATATGAATTTTAAAACACACCTAATGCATAATTTACTAAAATATAAAAGTAAAATCTAAATACAATTTAAATGTCTTTCTAACTATAACATGTCTAATCAAAAACGACTTAGGTGTGAAAAAAAAGGTACAGCCAGAAAAGGATTCAGTGTGCAACTTAAAGAAATAAAATTAAAATTGGCAACCAAACTGGTAGCTACACTTATAGCATTGATACAGATTTTACAATAAATATTCCATTGCTTATTTAGCCAGGTTGCATATTTGTTCAAATTTGGGCATGATGGTGGGTAAAACAAAATATGTAGTCTAGCTAACTAATGAATGAATATTTGCTGTAAAATTTTTATCAATGCTATAAGTGACACTACCAATGTTGATTTCATTCCTTTACATCGCACGCTCAACCCTTTTTAGGCTGCACTTTTTTTTTTCACACCTGATTTTTTTTTTATTAGATATGACTTTTTGTCATTACACGCCAGTAAACCACACTGAATAAGAATATGACACTCGATAGTACCCAACATTAGATTTAGGATCGCAACCCCATTATTCTGAACAGACCTTTACAGAACCAACCAGATTCTTTAAAGTATCTGGTGTTAAGTTTTTCCTCTCTAAAATAGTGCTAATAGCTTCCATTATACTAATGCCATGGAAATTAGATTAACAGTTTCTTGCAATTGGTACAGCCACATCAAGCATCATTATTTATGCTAATTGCATAAGCTAATATCACGTGACACTAAACACTCTTTAATTAGGAGAATTTCATAACATTTAGTAAATTTGTACTTAAAAGTTGTCAATGAATAATGAATAATAACTGTCCACTCATATGATTCTTTCAAAAACTTGAGCTAGAAATTGCTAATGTAGTTTACTGGGCTTAACCAATACTTATGTATTTACATGTCCTTTTAACCTTATAGTTTTTCTGCTCGAAGTCAGCTGTCTTTAATCTGAATAACAAAAACTAAAAATGTTCCACTTTTACTCTTGGGTAAAACTGTAGTAAAAAATATCAAACTGATAGCTCACGTGACTTTATGCATAGAATTACGCAAAAAAGTTTGTTAAGTTTGAGAGTTTTATGAATAATTTTGCACTTGTGGCTTACATTTACATCAAATGATACTCTTAATTGTAGGTTGTAAAGATCTATCAGCGTACCAAAACTGAAAGTAGTTCATAAAAGTTAAGTATGTTTTTCTATCAAATAAAGTTTCCATCCTTTTGGTGCAAAGAAAAAGAAATAGGAAGGAATTCAATCAAAATTGGAGATGTTATATCTCGGGTATTTCTTAATTGATTGCCTTGAAATTTGGTATGTGAAGTAAGAGTCCAGTAAAGCACATTCACTGAAAATATGTGTTAGTTTGGATTACCACAGTCTGAGCTAAGAAGGTGGAAAACTGCTAAACTATCACTCCTGTTAATAACACAATTTATCCTGCACTACTGTATGTCTTGATTTAGGTAAGAAACAACCGAAGTGCTATC